GTACAGTGGACCCTTGACTTACAGACGGCTTGACTTACAGACTTTTTGAGTTACAGACTTCTCTGGCCGCAAAATTTAGGTTTGACTTGCAGACTGAGATTTGACTTACAGACCAGAAAAAAACCAAAATGGAACAAAAACGGCCTGTTACGGGATTAATCGGTTTTCAATGCACTGTAGGTCAATGGAGACTTGACTTACAGACTTTTTGACTTGAGAACCGCCTTCCAATACGGATTAAGTTCTCAAGTCAAGACCCCACTGTACCTCAAAGGCAAAAAGCAATTGTTCTTAAATATAACTGTTGTTTTGTGCCTACAGATGGCTCCCAGTCCCTGAAGTTTCACGCAAGTCCCTCCATGAAGAAAGAAGCTTTAAATGCCAGCAGCTGAGAGGGGGGGGGACAAATAGGCAATAATCTTATTGCCCTAGGGGTTTTGTGTTTGCTTACTTGTTTCTCTGTTGCTATACTGTGCAATTTATGTGTGTGTGTGTGTGTGTGTGTGTGTGTGAGTGTGTGTGTGTGTCCCTCTCTCTCTCTCTGTGTCTATGATTCCGCAGCTGCAGATTTGTGTATTAGATTCATGTCAAGGCTTGATTCTCAGAGCTGATCTCCTGGTTTCTGTTTCCCATCCTGAATCTATAGCCTGCTTACTGGGGGAAAGAGTCAGGAGCTGTAGAAGAGAGGTTGCCTATGCCAATGAGCTTCAGTGGATTTAAGTGGGAGCAAGAGGCAAGCGTTTCTCTGGTTTTTTTTTTATTTAATGAAGCTCATTCTGCTGCTATCTTATTCCCGTTGACTCAGAAGCAAATTCTTCTGTTAACTTCTAGGAATACATGTACAGGATTCGAGTTCCCTAGACAAATACAGCTGATTTTCCCCTTCTTTTTCCACATTTTTCTTTTTGGGGAGAAGGAAAAAATATTTCTTTTTCTTCTTTGTTTTGGTATGGCTGGCAATCTTCTTTCATTGGTTTTATTCCTCCTCAAGTGAACGATGGGTTTTACACGAGAACATGGCCCTCACACTTGCTTGCTTCTTCATGTTTTTTCCTCCCTTGTTCTTTGGCCAGGAAGAGAACACCTCTCTCAATGATGCAAATGAAAAGTATGATCTTTTCATGAGTAAGGGTTGATAACGGAGACAAGATCTAGGGATAAGGACCACCATAGAGGAAAGTCAGAGCATGACACAGAGGGCAGAATCAGCCATGGCAGCAACTGGGGCAGAATCCCAGACAAAGAGCAACGAAGGACTGGTTGGGGCAGGGTCTAAGTGTAGAAAACAACAAGTAACTATGAAATCTGGTCTGTTAATGGCTGTCTTGTGTGTTTTGTGAGTGGATGTATGTGGGAATGGGGCCAGGAGAGAGAATGAGAGGATGGGTGCAAATAAGCTAGCTTAGAAAAGGAGCCAGGGCAATTCTGGCATGGCTGTAGAGGGAATGAATGGGAATAAATGGCGAGTGGGAAAGATACTGTCTGAGTTAACATACCTCTGTCTGCCAGTTTGCCTGCCTCTCTGTGTGTCTGAACAAGGGTCTGTATGAGTCCATGTGTGCAAGTATAAATACTGACTTTTGCTCTGGCTTTGCATATCATCCCGGTCTCCCCACCACGGGCTCCTGCACATTTTGCCTCACCAAAATAATGGGTACCAACTCCTACTTGTTAGAAGAAATGTGGTTGTTCACCTTTCACAAAACAGGTCATGTCTTGTTCTTCCCTGTTATAAACTGAACCATGTTACTTCATATTCCACAGATTTCTTCAAGTCAGAACATAGTCCATAGTAGGCCTTTTCTCAGCTACACTTCCACCACATTCCACTCATGCCCTGAGGTATGCTAACCAAGTCTATTGGATATATCCTCAACAGATGGCAATGTTTGAACCTAGCTCTGTTTCAGAATCTGTGCAAAAACAGAGCCAAAGAATTCTGGAAAGTTTCTCAGTCACAGCGTCCTCCAGCAGATATCAGCAGAAGGTGGCCATGGTCCAGAGGCTATGATCCATCTGATGTGGATCATGATATCCCCAAATTCCCTGCTTTTTTGGATGTCTCCATGGAGATGCCAAGGTGACAGGAAGGGACCAATAAGCACAGCAAACTTGGAGGACATGGATATCAGTCATTAGGAGTTCACTAATGAGTAGCTGTCTTCTTGAAGCTTATGATCCTTCTGACCCAGCTAATCCCCACTGTTACAGCAGTGAACATCCCAGTCTGTTTCAAAGAAGTACAGGCAGGTTTCAGTGCTCTCTTGATCCAAGGGCAGGATCTACACATCACTATGTTCTTCATGTTCCACAGAGAACATCTTAAGATGGGTTGCCTTTAAGGGCCATTAGATTCCACAACATAATTAATTGGCTTTTTTATAAAAAAAAGCAGAGTCTGACCATTCATAAAGAAAGGAGGGAACAAAGTCCCTGTACTCTTCTAGTGACCAATGGAAACTAGGGCCTCGATCCAGTTGAGATTCTCAACAAGAGCAGAGCCGTCAAATCACCCGTGGAACAATAAGTCGATGGTTGTATATATACACAATTGATTCAATGGGTCTAGTTTAGTTGGGACTACCAATTAGGTTAGATGCCTGAATGGCTACATGAAGCCTACACCTGTGGGCCTTTACTTAAATAAAAGCTAATTTGGTTCCATTTACTCAAGCTGACAGTACATAAACAAGTGGGCAGGCAAAGAGTAGTCTCAGATATATACTCTCACACAGTCATATGAAACAAAAATAAACAGATTAGAAAGTTTATGTCAATGTTACACTTACGGGTTTTTCTAGCTGAATCTTCAATGAAGAGAGAAGAAATATCCTCATCTACTCCCACTTCATTTTTAGCAATGCAAGTATAGGCACCGGTGTCTTCATATCGAACACTGTTGATGTGAAGTTCACTTCCATTTGCTGCAAGAAAAAGGGGGAAAATCCATAAATTGTCCTAACCTAGAACTGATTTAAGAAAGAAAGGAATTTTTAGGTGGCAACATTAATTTGTTATGGAGCTCCACTGAAATTAAAGCCTTAAAAATTTAAGATAGGGAAGAGAAAGAGAGTCAGAGATGAGAGTCTGAAGTAGAAGTTAGTCTGTGGTAGTTAGAGAGGGTAGCAGAGTTAGGAATTAAGAGTGTGGAACTTATAGAGAGCTAAAAGAGTTAAGAGTGAAACAAGTTATTAATAATCAAATGAATACATTAAAGTCTGTGAAGAACCTATGTAAGCGAACTGTAATCAATAAACCTGTGTTGTTCAACTTTATACTCAGCCTGGACCTCAATCTTTCTAATTAAAGGGTGTTGACAGAGGTCAACTGGTGGCAGCAAGGTAAAAGATATGATGAGATACTTGTGCGTGAACTCAGTGTTTGGTGAAACAAGCAAGGGCCCCGTGGCTAAATATCACAATCATAAATCAAATCTATAATAGGATACATGATGGTGACAGACCAGCAATCAACCATAAAAGGTGGGTTATAAAAAATTAGAGAGACTAAACAAAAAATATAATTAAATTAAACAGGGGCAACAGTATGACAAACTTGAGTAAAGAGCCAGGGCTTTACTTTTTTCCTGAAGCCAAGGAAGGTTTCTTACAAAACGCTGGCACCTTTTGTAAGAAAAAGGGACAGACAACTTCTTGAAACATTTATGAACTTCAGAGAATATTAATATTGAATATACTGTTTTATAATGAAATGAATATATAATAAAAGTGTGGTTCTACAGGAAATGAGAAAGCAATTAAAAACATATTTTGTGCATTAATTTTAGGTTATCTCAACTTTAAACTGAGGGAAGAAACAAAAAAAAAATCCCATTCCTCTACTGCCAAATGAAAAGGGGAAACGCTTGACATCTGTGCCATGATTTATGCAAGATGTGGGGCCAATTATCTTTCATCCCAAACAGCACAGATTTGGGACACAGGCTTTAGCAGGGAAGAAGTAGGAAGGTTTAACATCGATAGAAATATGATGGTGAATTAGTAAAGAAAATTGAATACAAGCAGTGTTCCATTTGATTCTGGCTTATGACAAATGAAACATGGTTGTTGGGTTTTTTTAAAAAAATTCTTACCTAAGAGCATAAGTTGCTTAGACAATTTTGGCACGACACCAATGCCATTCTTTAGCCAGGAGATTTTTGGATTCGGAATGCCCTCGGCGTGACATTTGAGGCTCGCTGAAACGCCAGGTTCTTGCGCCTGGGTCTCAGGATAGACACGAATCACAGGTGGCACTGCAGAAAGGAAAAAGAATCGGTGACTTTAAAGCAAGCTGTCGTATGTCAGCTCTTATTGTCCCCTGCAATTCTCTAACATCAAACACTATATTCGGAGCCAAACCATGTGTTACATGCAATTACATGTTTCTTCCTCTCACCGGCTGGGCTGCATCTTTTTCTTAACCTCTGAAGCTGCAGATGAGAAAGCGTATAGATGGATGTCGTCTTTTCCCTGCCAGCCACCTACCTACTCCAAATTGTTGTTGTTGTTCCACAACAGCATGTACAAGGTACACGGATCTTGTGTTGGAAATCAGGAAGAAACAATTTTTTGTCTAACAAATGTAACTCTCATATAATAATTCTGCCCTCCATGAAATTGAGAGAAAATGAGGCTGTTATTGCTACATTAGAAGTTGCTTGATTTTGCTTCCTGATGTCCATGCCTGTATATGGCAATATCAATAACCCAGCACTTCAGCTGCATGGTCAGTGAAATCATTGAGGTAAAAACAAGCAAAATGGAACTAAGACCAGCAAAATTAGAATTTCAGCCCCTTCTGAGGGAGCAGAACTACGGAGATAATGGAACAGGTATGTTTTCCGAGGTCAGTCTGTTTCTCTGTGGGTGAGCAAGGGACTTACATTTAGCAATCATAGTAGTTTGTTCATTAAACACAGAGAACGAGACACATACACAATACACAAAGATACATTTCCCCTTCACCATTGGCAAGGACGATAGCAGCAGAGCTGCCTTTTCATGAGCCTAAGTGGTGTTTTCCGTTATGTCTAATGAAAATCTCATTCTGGAACACTGAGGGGGTTTTGGCTGGAGGAACGGTGGCTCCCACTGAGTCTGCTATTTAAAATAGAAGACTAAAATTTAAAACTATAGCAAAAGAACTTGCAACCACCACTGCTTCAAGGTCAGCCCTGCCTAAATTTTGCAGCTAATTGATAGTTTAGCAAGATAATCCTCCTTTCAGTTCCCAAGGTGCCTTAAAAATGCAGAGAGTGAGCTGGACTGTGCCCTAGTTCCACAGAGAACCTCATAATGCTGGCTGAAAAACCAGTTCTGGTTGTTGTCCACTGTACTGTGTTTTTACACTGTCCATTAACTAGAATTTGCAGAGCGATATAGGCAGTTGTAATCCAAAATGCTAAACAGTAAATGCCAGATTCAGCTTCTGCCCATGACTCTTCCGTGTGTGCTATGTTCTGACTGAACATTTCCACAGCCAGCCCGGATAGCACGTCTGTTGTGAACCTCCTCCTTTCTTATGTATTTTTGCATTTGAAACATATCTCTACTATTCTTCAACATGTGAAATTCTGGAGTGGTGTTCAAGATTGAAAATGCACCATTTAAAAACAAGATACTGTATGGTGAAATTAATATCTAATTGATAAAATAAAAGCCGGCAATAAAAAAATAAATTGAGTGACATGGGCAGGCTCAAAGATTTATACAAATTAAAATGCCTGGATATAAAGATGGTAGTTTAGGTGCCAGACATGTCATTATAAGGGAAGCATTCCAAAACCAGGTTATTATGCACAGAAAGACCCTTCTTCTGTAATTACACAAAATCCTAAGGGAACACTTGAGAGTCAGACCTCCATTAATGATGTAACTCCATGCTTGTTCCAGCTTTCTGCACAAGAATAAGACAAAACCATTTTGTCCTTCTTACTTTTGAGATGATGAGGTATTCTCTGGCAGTATCAGTGAGATTACTCATGCTTGCTAGAATGATTTTTGCAAATATGCAGTTGTGTAAAATTCCAGCAGCTGCTGCTCTGTTGCATGGACTTTAAAAAAAATCTAGAAAAACCAATAGTTTGAGTCTCTCAGCTAGTTCTTCTTTCTTTGCAATAAAGGTAAAGGTTTCCCTTGACAATTTTTGTCCAGTCGTGTTCGCCCCTAGGGGGCGGTGCTCATCCCCGTTTCCAAGCCATAGAGCCAGCGTTTTGTCCGAAGACAATCTTCTGTGGTCACATGGCCAGTGCAACTTAGACACGAAATGCTGTTACCTTCCCACCGAGGTGGTCCCTATTGATCTACTTGAATTTGCATGCTTTCGAACCACTAGGTTGGCGGGAGCTGGGACAAGCGACGGGAGCTCACTCCGTCACGTGGATTTGATCTTACGACTGCTTGGTCTTCTGACCCTGCAGCACAGGCTTCTGCGGTTTAGCCCGCAGCGCCACCACATCCCTTCTTTGCAATGTATATGTGTAATTTGCTCTACAAACAGAAAATACATTAGATCTGTGCTGAGATGTTTTGAGGAAATCTCAAAGAAAATAAATCCTAACTCCATTCTTCTGCTGAAAGTCAGAAATCATTGGGACCAGTGACTTCTCAACAAGCTGCCTTGATGAGAATGAATAAATGTTCATGGATTTGTCACATCCCTAAACACATCCATGGAAGATTTCAAGATGCAACCAGTACTTTCTAGTATAGGAAGAGTCGGTCTTTCCAGTATTTGGGCCCAGTGACATTCAAGGTTTTTAAGGGGAAGTGCTAGGAGCTAAATTGGGCTTTGAAAAAGGAGGCAACCAGTGATATTTTAAGACTGGAATAGAACCTCACATTAGAAATATACACACAGCCACCTCCATTCTGTCTCATAAAAGTGTATTACTCACTTGTTGGACCCTCTGGGTCAAGCCTCTTCAGCTAGAAGTTATTCCTGAGATGGCAAGAATTGAAACCATGGGTGGCCTGCAGAACAATTTGCTGCCATCACTGCCACAAAGCAGATATGATTACTGAGCTGTCGTGTTTACCCTGCAACATCAGCCACTTGTGTCTCCCAGCTTTCTATCATCACATCTTATTTCATTGCAATTACAAATTACAATTACAATTTATTTCATTGTACTAACTCCATTGCTACTCCAGTGGTCAATTGTCCTTTCACAGCACGATAAAGGATATTTGGGATGAATCACACACCAACAGCCTGTCTCATTATTCCTTAACCTTGACAGGAGTGCCAACCACGTGAGCTGAAAGCTCCAAGGGCATTCAGGAATCTAATCAGCTACCATAGGTCTGAGAGTGGACTAAGATAATGGATGGGGGAGACAGCAGCTGTCAATCTAAACTTCAACAGGAAAATGTCTGACAAGAATGAAGACAAAAAGAGCCCCCTTCCCACTGCAGACCTGCTCCAAATCAGCTGAGAATACAGGCCAGAGTATGTCTTGCAAAAGCCTTGTAACTGTCATGGCAACTATAAAGTCTGAGTTGACCCCACCAGGGTGGACTCACCATGAATATTAAGGTGTCCCAGAATGTTAGTTCTTAGGGTCCAGGAGTACAGCCAAAATACTGTATTTCACCTAACAGATTTCCACCCTGTTTTCTTCATATTCTCTTTCTGACCTCCCAGTTTCAGCTTTGACATAATGAACTTCAACAAGGGCAGTGTTTCCGGACCTCACCCAGAGCTTTGAGGGAGAAATGAAATGTGTACACCAGCAAATGAAAACATAAGTCATCTCTACTCTAGAATATAGATCAGTAGTCCCCAACCTTGGGCCTCCAGATGTTCTTGGACTTCAACTCCCAGAAATCCTGGCCAGCAGAGGTGGTGGTGAAGGATTCTGAGAGCTGTAGTCCAAGAACATCTGGAGGGCCAAGGTTGGGGACCAATGATCTAGACCACAAAGCAACTAAATGTCCTGGTGGAAAAACTCATGAACCTTGTATGCGGATGTCTACAGAGTCTCCAAATTTGAACACCAAAAAGTGTAGGACAACATTTGATTTATCTATTCTGGAAATACACAACTAAACATATAATTGCCAGCCCTTCTGCACCATGTACTGCTGTAGTTATACAAAAGCTCTGTGCAAATGAGATTATCATTTGACCTCTCTGTTCCATCCAGTTTAATTTTGAAGGAACTGGGGAGGAATATTCCAATAAAAGCTAAAGGACTGGGGAATTTCATGTATCTGACAACAATTCAATCCCCAAGCACTTCACTCATGAGGGTGCCACTGTTTTTACAAACCTAACCACTTGAACACAGTTTAATTGTGCAACTACAGTAGTGCCTCGCTTAGCGAGTGCTTCGCTATGCGATGAATTCGCATAGCGAGGGGGTCCGGGCCATCGCTGGAGCGTTCGCTCAGCGATGGCCCCTATAGCGTTTTTTCGCTTTGCGATGATCGCTAAGCAATTCGCTTAGCGATTTTCGCAGAACGAAGCGGGGAGAACAGCTGATTGGCGGTTCCAAAATGGCCGCCGGAAGGTCCGCGCCACATTTTCGCGCCCTGCCCTCGCTTACCGAGGGCGCGAAAATGGCGGCGCTATGGAAAAACATCGCTTAATGGTGAGTTTTAAAGCCATAGGAACGCATTGAATGAAGTTCAATGCGTTTCTATGGCTTTTTTATTCCCGTTTAGCGATGTTTTCGCATAGCGAAGGTTAATCCGGAACGGATTAACCTCGCTATGCGAGGCACCACTGTATTTTAACTTAGTGTGGTTGGCGTTTAATCAAGGTGTTATGAAATATGGACTTGTGCTGATAACTACAAGTCAGCAAGTGTTCTTGCAAGAGCATGTCTTAGTAATTTATGCAGGCCCATGGTTTGCAATTCTGAGTCTTGGAATATTTGCTAGATTGGAGGTTTTCTGAGGGGTTTTAGTTTTTATATGTTCATTATTTTAATTCTGTTTATATATTCATGTTATTTTTGGAAGCCGCCCAGAATAATGGCTGGTCCACTAAATGCATGGGGCATAAGTCTAAACAAGCAAGCAAGCAAAACAAACATACAAACAAACAAACTATGGTTGTTGTGGGTTTTCCGGGATGTTTGGCCATATTTTGAAGGTTTCTCTTCCTAACTTTTCGCCAGTCTCTGTGGCCAGCATCTTCAGAGGACAGGAGTCAGAACTCTGTCTGTGCTCTGTCGCAGTTTGTTGGATAGTTGAGTATTTATAGCTGTGGGTTCAGCTTTTGTCCTTTTCAGGAGATTGGGTGCTT